TGCAAAGAAATGCTGGGGTGCTGAAACTGTCAAATCAGCCAACAAAGCCAAGAACGCAGCAGAGGTGCGTGCGACAATGGTCAAAGGGATCCTGGATCCACAGTCCATAATGGTTGCCTTTGAGTGTAAAGGGAAAGGGAAAGTGACATTCTTGCACCGTCAACATACAAAAACAGAATCATGGGCAGAGATAGTGTGGTGGGTGGCCAAGAGTAAGAGGCCCTTTCAAGTTGTCAGTGATCGTGGCTTCCAAAGCTTAATGAAAATGGGAAGACCAGAATATTACATACCTTCACCCACAACAGTATCTCACAATGTCAGGAAGGTGTTTGCGAATACGTGAAAGCATATTGCAAATATGTTACAGGAGTATGAGGGTGCCCTCAGCTTTGCTACAGATGCATGGACCTCTCCAAACCACAGGGCATTTGTCGCCATGACTGTCCACTTTGAACAGGATGGAGAGCCGGTGTGCTTGATCCTTGATGTTGCTGAAGTAGCGATGTCACACTCAGGTGCTAACCTTGCTGCAGCATTTGCAAAGATCCTTGAAGAGTTTGGGGTGTCTGATAAGGTCAGTTTACATCAAATAGCAGTGGACAGGATACTTACCTGCAGCCAGATACTGTGTATAACCTGTGATAATGCATCTTCAAATGACACCATGGTTGAGGTGCTCAGTGACCTGATTCCCTCGTTCCCTGGAGATCCCAACCGTGCATGGTGCTTCAACCATGTCATCGCACTCGTAGCAAAAAGTTTGATACATCAATTTGATGTCCCTAAAGGCATGGCAGATGTGGCGCTGGACAAAGCAGAGAGGGAGTTGAGAGATCTTGCTGAGGGTCTTGATATTGAGGATGAGCAGACCAGAGGTGAATGGGAGGGGAAGGAAGATGAAAATGATGATATAGGTGATACTGCAGATGGCTGGATCGATGAGGTAGCTAGACTCCCCATGGCTGACCATAACAAACTTGAGGAAAACATAAGGCCTGTCAAGCTGGTGTTGGTTAAAGTCAGTCACTGAACCAAAGTCTTATAGGTGTTGTCGTACTTACCTGAATGCTTCCATAGCTACACAAGATTGCATTTGCACTCCTCCACTCAACAACACTTCTCCTGCCCTTGTGGTTTCAAACGCTCCAGAAGCTCAGCCTACCAGAATGGAAAATGCCGTGTGATGTAGCAACATTGTTAGACCTTTGACATGCTGGTGTTTGCAATAGAGTATCAGTTAGCCATTGACAGTGTTACAGCAGACAAAAGTGCAAACCTGCACAAGTTCAAGTTGAATAAGGATGAGTGGATCATTGCTGGACAGCTGGACAGCATGTTGAAGGTGCGTGCATTTCTATTTTTAGGATTGATCTTGCGCCACGTTCTCATTACGACTTAGATATTTAAAGATGCAACACTATTTTTCTCTCATTCCACTCCCAGTCTTGCAACTGTGATCCCTGTAATGGATCACATTGACGAAATGCTCACCAACCACTCCCTTAATCATGATTATGAATTATAAATTCATGCTGCCCTAGGGATCGCCAAGAAAACACTTGACTGCTATTACAATGCTACAGATCAATCTGAAGTATATCATATTGCTATGGGTACTAAGTCTTTTTCTTTCAGAATTGTTATATACTACTAATATAATAACTCTATCTATTGACAGTATTACATCCCCGACACAAACTTAAATACTTCAAGCATGCTGGCTGGGAGCGCGCCTGGATTGATACTGCAGAGGAGATTGTGAGGGATGTCTTCAAACAGTCCTATTCCACACTACATGCATCTGGTATACATGAGGATATACCTGCACCCATAAACGAGCAGGCCAAGGTATGTTTTGTTTCAAACACTTTTGATACTGCTGGTGTGTAACTGATCTTCTATACTAGGTACTTAATATATTCAATGATCTGCCCTCCCTTGCTGCGCCACGTGCTGCAGAAATGCTTGACAAAGTTTCATGCTACCTCAGCACCAATCCAGAGCAAGCCAGGGACGTCCTTCTCTGGTGGCATAGTAAAAATCTGTATACCCTTGTCTATCCCACACGGCGCTCGACTACTTGTCAATTCCCAGTGAGCTACTAACTTATACTATGGCAATGGTGTTGTCTTATTAATGACATCAGCAACGTCAACCAATGTTGAGCATGTTTTCAGTCAGGGCTGCCTCATTTTGTCTCATGTTTGTAACTGGTTATCTGCACAGTCAACATGTGCTCTCCTCTGTCTCAGAAACTGGAGTCTGCTGGGCTATGTGAAGAACAAGGACATTACCGCTATCACAATTCTACCAGAGGTTGCAGGAGATGATGAGGAGCTTGAAGAAGGCTGGGACATCATAGATTAAATTTTTTAATTTGTTTCATGCTAGTAGCGACTCGGATAACTACAGACTCGTGCTTAGTGTTATTGGTGTACCTGCGTGTTACCTGCTGCGGGTACGGGTATGGGTACACCCAAGGGTATGAACATCTGACCCGTGAAAAAACCCCTACCCCTGGTACAGGTATGGGTTTTCATGGGTAAGGGTATGGGTATAGTCAAAAATACCCATGGGTTACCCATGCAGAACACTAACAAGAGGTACTTTACCTTCAGTTGCTCATTGGAGAACTCCATGAACCAACACCACTCCCTACCCCCATCTTCTGTGACAACCAAGCAGCAATTGCACTTGCATCAAATGACAAATTCCAATTGTGAACCAAACACATTGACCTACAGTATCACTTCACTCATTCCCACATTAAGAATGGAACTTTTCAACTCTTCTACTGCCCGACCGACCATAACGTCACCAATGCATTCATGAAGGCTCTACCTCGACCACACCTGCAAAAGCTACGAGGGCAAATGTCCCTGGCTTGCGCTCGAGTGGGAGTGTTGGAGTCCAAACGATCAGAGCAATCAGAGACGAAGAAGACCAACAGATCTGAAATGGTTGAGGAGGGAGAGTGACAGGTGGTCTGAGCCCAAGCCAAAAAGGATATTGATGAGCAACGTGTTGACATCAGCTCGTGTCCTGCAATAACTTACCTATTCATTTGATATATTTCATTTCTATCCAGTTTAGTATAAGAATGCTGGCAGTAGCACAAGCGCATATCAGCTTCTTTCAAGAGACTGAGATGTGAGTTAATAGTCTCTATGTATTGATTAGAACACAACTAACGAGTCCCTAGTATACTTGTTTATTAGGTACATTGCTCATTAGACAAGCTTCTTTCAAGAGACTGAGATTATACTTGTTTATTAGATCGTCCCCGAAGGCCCATGACTCATTACTCACCACAAATACATCAGCGAAAAATCCAGCTGTCTGCAAAAGATAAGCAGATGTTGCCATAGTCTTTAGTAGATAATTGAAACATTGAGAGACACACCCCCACAGCCTTCTATGGCACATGCTGTCACAATGCCAACAGTACAATGTGCACATGGCGAGTCAGAGCCAGTAGTTGCAACCTCAAATGATACGGATGAGTTCCTGTCATTCTTGCTCCACAGACTGCCATCACCAGCGTGAATCAGCATATTCAGTGCCCTGTCGTATGCATTAATAGCAGATCAGTGTCCCCATCTATGTTATCCTTGTCATGTGCAATGCTGCCTCCTTCAATATTTTTGTGCTATTAATCTTGATAATTTATTTACTACTAACTTGCTACTGTGGTAATAATGATTTTTTCTCATATCTTTTGCAAAGTCTAGACCCCATCAAAATTGAGTGCTCCAGCCAGAGAACTATATGATGAGGCTCGGGCGTGGCATTCTGAGTTGTCCGTGATTGTGAGTGGCAGGGGAAGTGTTATGGGTTGGCAGTCTATGATGTGGGCACCTGCTACTAATGCATATGACAGGGCACTGAATGTGCTAATTCGCGCTAGTGATGACGGTCTGTGGAGCGAGAATGACAGGAACTCATCCATATCATTTGAGGTTGCAACTACTGGCTCTGACTCGCCATGTGCATGTTGTACTGTCAGCACCGTGACAGCACATGCCATAGAAGGCTGAGGGGGTGTGCCCCATGTCGCATGTGGAAGTTGTCAGTGAACATCTACAGCGAGCGCGTTGTGGGCACACATCATAACCTGCTCAGAGAGTTAATCCTTGGGTCTGCATTCCTAGATTTTGTGCATTACATGTTGAAGGTTGGTGACTGGAGTCCTGGCCTGGTATGTAATTTGATCTTTGCACGCACCTTGTTCTGCGTAAGTTTGGGAACCGAAGTATTCCGGAACAGTAACAGGGCACTCGTTACTCACTGCAAATATGCATGGTCGTAAAGTCAGCCCACATTCTAGTGCAAATGTCACTAGGTACGTACAATTTTAGGTGGCATTCTACTGGCATTGCAAATATCATCAGGTAGATAGGTTCTTCCTACATCACTATGAAGAATAAATTCAGCATATAAAAGCAAGCTGTCTTCCTACTGCTCCCTTCAGATTTATTAAATCTCATATCGCGTCCTCACACACAATGCATTTCTCCTTTATCCTCGCCATTGCTGTTGCTTTGACAGCATCAATATCTGTAGCTGCCAGTGAATTTTGTTACTTGTGCCATCATGATGAAGACTGCAAAGGCTGCACTTTGAAGAAAACCTGCGTGTGTATGAGTAGTTTGTGTCCTGTATTTAACCACATGACTCACCGATGTGGTAGCAATTATTGATATGCTCTGAATAGTGTGCTTTCACATCGGCGCAGTATGGCTGATGGCGCAACGAGTGAGTTACTAGTAGCGAGTTATAGGGGAGGACTCTGAATTGGATCTGCTAGCTTCGATATCATCGAGAGCATCCAGGTGTGAAAGACGAGGATACATATATATAGTCGAGACTTGTATCAAGGAGACTGATCAATGGGACGTTAAGAACGTGACGTGACAACTTTCAGCTAGAATGCTTCCGAATACCGCTCCGATCATAGTTTAGGGCTGGCATGTGATTTCACGTATCCTGTTAACACCATAATGACTATCCCCCGGATAAAATCTATCGGGAGATCGATTTCAAACCATACCGTTCGTCAGCTCAAGTTTATCATCCCCGGAGCTGTGATCACGTATGCATTCAATACCCATCGCGTCTTTCTGAAGTTGTTAACCAGACAAGATGTAGAAGGGTTAGCAAGGTGGGCATCCATCGACAGTTTTCTCAATAAATATTCACGCGTAATCCAGACTGTTTGCCCTTGCTTCCACTGGTTTGGAAGCACTTGTGATCATACTTTTTCTCTACGTCCTCCTTGTACCGTGGATACACGGCCTCGAACCAGACGTGAGTTATTTTCATTGCAGCAACTTCATCATACATAATCGATAACGTCTCAGTACCAGTCTTGGCGAGACTCGGGGATACTCTCTTCTGTCATCCCAATATTGACCGTTGCGATCTTGGTTGGCTGGTCACTTCTGTCCTTTACCCTCGGGAGGTGGTCTAGTTTGGGATATCTAGAAGGAGTAGTAGGGGGTGAGCTCAGCATCAATCAGTCTGATTACATCCGTGATCTCAGTTTTGTGTTTCAGCATCAGGCATTTATGCACTCACGTTTGGACTATTAGGCCTTCTTCCCGCCCCGAAAGTTCACCGCTCATGATTCAGTATCGCAATTACGAGTGGCTCGTGTCTCACGCGGACTTGTTACTAATGTACTGTCGATGTATGTACTTTGATATTGTAGGATGCTATACAGTTAGTAATACTTACAAATACTACCGGTGCGCCCGGTAGGGAAGGAAATACTGTGATTCAGTGAGCCGATCCCAACCGGCTAAAATCTTATGCCTGGTGTTATGTATAAGTATGATGACGGTCTCAAGGACACGTTGACAGATTGTGACGCGCTCTCTACTTCCTAACTACCATAATTCACCTCGTATTGGCGCCATGCTACCCAAAACCTTTAGCCAGATTGTCCTTCGCGAACGCCCCATCGCAGACATTCTCCCAAATACCTTCGAGTCTAAGACCCAGGCGTTCGATGGACTCCATGTCGGCAAGAATCAAGCTCTAGTCCAAGTGACATACCTCTCACTTGATCCTGCCATGCGTGGATGGCTCAACGATAAGCGAAGCTACCTCCCTCCTGTAAAAATCGGGGAGGTGATGCGCGGGCTTGGGCTTGGTGTTGTAATGAGCGTGGGCGAGGGGAGCAAGTTCAAAAAGGGGGACCTGGTTCATGGGACGTTTGGTGCGTCTGCGAGAATGGCTCTTTTCTCCCATCCTTGTCCTGACTCCTTATGTTACACGCAGGATGGACAGAATATGTGGTTGTGAACGACAACTCATTGGAGAAGATCTCGTGAGATTTGCTTCTCATCAGTATTCTGCTTTTATACCATTATGAATCACAGGCCACCACCGGGAACAACGTCCCTCGACTTCTTGAACACTTTGGGGATGCCAGGTCTGTCTTCTTACTACTATGCATGCGTCCTAGTGCGTCTGACATAGTACGACTGACAGGCATGACTGCTTACTTTGTCCGTTCCGCTCCTGCCCCATGTCTCAGCGTACTGATTAGGTTATAGGGCCTTCACGAAGTTGGTCAGCTGAAGGCTGGTGAAACATTAGTCGTATCCGGTGCTGCTGGTGCAGTCGGTTCTCTCGTCTGCCAGCTCGGAAAGCGAGCAGGCGCACGCGTGGTTGCCATCGCAGGCACAACAGACAAGTGCGCCTGGCTCGAGAACGAGTTAGGCGTGGACAAAGTGCTCAATTACAAAAGCCCTACGTTCCGTAAGGATTTCGTTAAGGCTGTTGGGTATCTAGATGTCTACTTCGACAATGTTGGAGGCGAGATGCTTGATTTAGCGCTCTCGAGGTTGAAGCAAAATGCAAGGGTTGTTCTGTGTGGTCCGTGATCTCACTTCTACAGGAGAAAGGACTTACTTTGATGTGAAAATGCAGGGGCTATCTCCCAGTATAGTGAGTATTTTAACAAAATTCATGTATTCGGAGGCTCATTTGTGTACTAGATGCTCAACAGCCCAAAGGTCTCATGCAGTATCTGAACCTAATCTCACAACGTGCCAAGATACAAGGTTTTATTGTGTGCGTGCGAGTGGGACCATGTCATATGACATACTGACTTTCTTCACAAGTTTCGACTATGTTAAGCAGTATCCTCAGGCCATCCAGGAAATAGCAACTGGATTGGTTGATGGATCGATCAAGCGCAAATTCCATGTTGTGGAAGGACTCCAGAATGCTCCCAATGCGCTGACTATGCTCTTCTCTGGGGCAAATTCAGGAAAGTTGTGCGTATCTTCTCCTTGGCCTTTGCCTCGTTATGTACAAATGGCTGATACCCCAATCTAGAGTTGTTAAAGTTTCGGATGAGCCTGCTATGCTCGCGAAGCTGTAGATCAACAAGATGCATCCTGATACCCTGCCTCGTCTAAACTGCGTGTTTCATTCCAAGCCACACTGAGTAGTTCAACCGGCACCGAGCTGGTCAATTTATATGATTTCTTATTGTCTAACTTTCATCTAGTATACAATAAACTTAGTGCTGCCATTCGTTGGCCATTCGCGATCACAAATTGTGCCATGGTACTCGCTGATATTCTATGGTCCCTCACTCACATAGCTCGGGAGATATTGCCAAGTACAACGACTTGAGGACCATTTTGCTGACGAGCGCATTTTACAGATTCCAGAGGTTTTTCCTGGTTGCCGGATCATGCACTGCGTGTTGCACCTGCATCTAAAATGTGTCTCTGAAGTGACCCTTCCGGATGCTTCGTACGGCAATCATCATGAATTAGGGGGGTGCATGCTGAATATCGGGATGGCTCGTATTTGTAAAGCTAACTTTACCAGAATTCGAAACTGATCACCGGTCATACAAAACAAGGGCATGAACGTCATAGTACGTACGAAAGCCTCAGGCGTTCCGAGCTCCTCATTGCTCATATCGTTACTAAACGCGGCCTCCAGATACTTCCACTTCCTCGGTACGACCCTCTCGCACTTTCTCGTCCATGTCGGACTGGAAGGATTCCGATTGGCCACGTCGCATATCAAGCACATCGAGGTACCCGTATGGGGCGATTTTATTGTCCTCGTAGTAGTGCTTGTGAGCACGGAGGAAATTGATATGGTGCGGTGTAAGTGCTGCGACCGACAGTCAGCATTGCACGACCTGTGAGGGGATAATACTTACTCCGCGTTGCAGAGCCCAAGAATAGCTCATATACCAGCGCAGCACAAATCGTCGCTGGGATATTCGTCAGCGCGGCAATGGCTGCATATGTTCCTCCTGAGGCTTTGGATCCCCAGATGGTCAAGGCCATGAGGCGTCCACCAAGGTCACGAGCAGTGTTAGTGGCGACTGTACTGCAAAGTCAGATGATGATAATGCGCAAATATGATCAGGGCTTGCCTGAGGTGGGCGAATACCCCCAGGCGGCAACGGCGCTGAGGAGATGCGTTAATATGTTCAGGAGGTGCGGTCGTGGTACGTACTACGCCATTCCGATGAGCCAAGGTGCGGCTGCTGGCGGAATCATGTGGTTTGTGGGGTCAAGGCAGCCCCAAATGACCAGGCCGAGGACGAAGTCCTGAAGGGTGACAGTTAGATGAACTCGTGCGTGCCCTTGGGAGTTAAATATCAAATACTTACAGTGACAAATTCATTCATGAACACGCGGTGTAGGTTCGTCCCAGGGGCGACAAAGAAGCCGAACACACCAGCTGGGCCACTGCTCGAGAACATCACGGTGTCATACAGGCCTTTTTCAATGAGAACTTTCTCTGCAACCTTCGAGGGGTAAGATATCCAAATACTGAGCATATTCCAAGTCCTCTACGTACCAAAAGCAAATCTTTCCATTGGACATAGACGATCAAGCAAGTGAGGTAACCTGACAAAATCTGTGCAAAGATATATCTAAATCATGTATCAGCGGCGTTGACGGGCATGGTGTTGCGACTATCACGGACCTCGCTGCTTTCCGCATGGGAAAGTCTCGGAAAATTACAGAGGAAATTGTGACGGCTGGGTTGAAATGGCCTCCTGACGTCGCACCACAGAGCGAAACCGCAAACACGATGCCCATGGCGTAAGCGAAGCCAATAGTATATAACGCTGCGGGGTCGTCAAAAACAAAATTCTCGAAAAAAAGGTAGAGACTTGCATCCTAACCCATTGCTCCCGATGAGAGTTCCGACAACGAATGCAGCGGTGGCTCCAAGACCTACACATCAAACGAGAATAAATGAGTGGGGGATCAAAATTTTAGTCAAGTGAACTGACCTGCATAGACGTAGAGAAACACCCCCATCTACTCGTGGCACGTCAGTCAGACAATATCAGAAAAGAAAGGAGCGCATGCCATTTCTGCGATCATTTCTACGAGCCAGTGTGCCTCCTTGTGTCTGAGCCTCTCCCAGGAGGTCATCCAGCGAGGCCTTGTCGCAATTTCGCTCAGATGGATTTTCGAAGGTGACATGGTTGGAACTTTGGAAGAGGGAGGTTTGGAAAGCTGGGGAGGGATGTGACGAGGCCTTTTAACGCCAGGGCAAAGTTCAAACCCATGAGGCCAAAACTACCATTCCAGGTGAAGACCGCTATACCAGATCTAGACTCAGAAATACAGGTAGACGTATTTACTCGTATCTAGCGCCGGAAGCAGCGCAACGTAGCAGGTGTCAATCGATCAAATCTGATTTGACCAAGTTTGAAAGTTTCGGCTATGAATTTGAAGATCGACGTATGTTCCCTGATACAGTTGGTTCCGCAAGTTCGAAGACCTTCTTCCGAGGAGGCTTCTCGACAGAGTTGAGTGAGTCGCAACAGATGCTATATCGCCATTGGCTTGAGCTCTCGCGGCGAATGAAGTTCAGCGTGTAACATGTTTCAGCACCCGTATGTTAAGAGGTCATGGGGTTTGCGAGTGCACCCCGCCGTGGGGTATAGGATCATTGGACCCGCTGAAGTCAAGAATAGAGCTGCATGTTCCGTCGTCACCAAGTCGATATTGAATATTGAAGGGCTGAATCTGATGGGGATGGGATTGGGTTGTGCCGCTACTGATTAGGAATAACAATTGAATAGGTAATACCCTTGTATCATTGGAGTTCTCCCGCAATCATCCTATTCACTGGAGTATGATCTTGAACGTTCAACCTCATCCGGAACATGAACCGATGAAACTTCCTGAAACTTCCGTGTCGCTGGCGATGCCAGCGACTGGTGAAGTCGTCTGACGTGTCGCAATTGCTTCCACACTCAAATGGTGTTATGTATAGATATATGTGGCAGAAGGCAGAAATAAAATGGGTTCATGCGGGGTCGTTCTCCATAACACTGTGAGACTACGCGTCCTAAAATGTTTACAATTGATGGTCTTTGTCAGTTTGGTCAAGAGGCATCTGTGATGATCAGATTGTGCCACAGGCTCTCGAGTCCCAAAACAGATTTGAACGTCTGAACAGTTCTATCGTCCTACCCGACGTCGATAGTCACTGTAAGGTCCCCCACGCATATGGAGATTCAATATTCAATGACGAACCGGAAATATGTCATTCAGCCACGTCCGAGGACTCATCGACCGGTAGATTCTCTTCCACACCACCAGAAAAATTCGTGGAAAC